GCACTTTTCTTTTTATTGAATAAATGCTTTACTGCGTTGATGGTTAGTGTAAATTACTAACCTAATTACATTTAGGTATCATATTGATTCTTGCAAATTTTTTAGAGAAAAAAGTGGAAAGCAGAGAGAGAGAAGGAGTATTAGAATTTTTTCAAATTGAACTTTTAAACTGTATTAATTTTTAACGAAATAAAAAGTTTTATTAAACTGCAAGCTTAATAGTGCTCAGATTTTTTTTTTTTGTTGTTTTGCAGAGATGTCTGTTGATGAAAAAATTGATGATATACGGCTAACAATAGCTGCAATTCATCGAGGCCTTTATAAGTTTGATAAACACCTGGATGGAGTTCTCAGTGGTCTGAACGAAACTTTGACCAGCCTTGATCAGCAACTTAATAACGCCGAATATGAAGTAGGCCGGTTAAGAGAGGATGCAAACACTGTGCTAAACTATGTTCGTACCATCTTTAACACAACTGATTTCTACCTTTTGATCTTTCAACAGTATAAGACGGGAGTTCAGAGGAACAGAAAGAAAAAAACTTTTTTTTCTTTTTTATTTCAACCACTTTTTTTGTGCCTCTTGAAAATGTTCAATTAGCACTTCAAAACTATTCTCTGTTAGCTACCAACAACTGTCTACTACATGTAAAATATTGCAACATCTGTTTTTAGTTTCCGGAGTACTCCACCTTTATTGGAATTTTGTTATTTCTGGATCTCCTCATTTGGATTATCATCATCTATCTTATAATCCATCTTATACGAACTTGGAAAAGTCGTATGGCGAAGCTGGAGAAACTTATTCAGAAAGTGAAGAAAAAAAGAAAGGATCCAAAAATTATGAACGATATAGCTTTGGATTTAATTATGGTCGAACGACTAGCAGCTGCACCTCAGCCAAATGCTCCATCATTGCCCAGTTACGAGAGTATAGATCGAGCTTTGCCTTTATATTCAAAAGTTGTTAAAGATGGTTAGTTTAGTACAGTCATTCGTTTTCCGCTGTTTTTATTCCGCCGTTACGAAATTTAAGTTTACAGTTTTGTTTTTTATACAGTTTTGTTTCAAATCTTATTGAAGAAAGAATCCAAGTAGCTCACCGCTAAAACACTGCACTTGAGTTTTCTTTTTTTATATCACGTTCAGCCATTGTTAATATTTAAGCACGAAACTTTATAAGGCTTTTAGAGCTAGGTATAAAGCATTTGTGAATTATGACGTCTCAGAGTGTGTCGGAATTAGTTGTCTAGAAAAACTTTTATTTAGTAGCAGCAAAATACAAGTTGAGATGAGCATAACAGTCACAGCTTATTTTCACCGTTATTATTGATCTCTGACATATGAAGACAGCGATGATGTAACATCACTGTAATATTTTATCGTCTAAATTTTAAAATTTTCTAGTTTTGTTGGTGCTTTTGACACCGATGTTATTTAAATTTTTTAAACATGTTCAATAGCTTTCTTTTTTCTTTGCTCTTCTGCTATTTTCTGTAAATTTTTCAGGAATTGTTGAAACGACTTATGGGACGCCCAGCTGACAAACTGTGAATTCAGAGGTTCATAGACTACACTGCCAGCAAAGTAGATTTGTTTATTATGCTGAGTGGAGCTGCATTCTAGAAACATTTTTGCTGCCTCTTCTATCTGCAGCTAAATGGGTCTTCACGAAACCACTTCCAAAGTTTACTGTGCTTTACGGATGCGATATAAGCTTAGACTTCAGAAATACGGTGTATTTGCGTAACAATAATTTGTAAAAGTCGTCTTAGTTGAATTATTTTGTTAACTTCTTAAATTCACTTGAATTCACTTATTCTTTTTTATTTTTTATTTTTATTTATTTATTTTTTTTTGCATATGAGTTGAGTGCGCCATATCTGTACATCCTACTTTGTCGGCCTTCTCTGAAAGTGCTATAGTTTCAAGAAAAAACATCTAAAAAAACAGGCTACAGAATCTGCAAGAAACTATTAAAAATTCAGGAGGGTTTACGACTCAAAAATTCTGATCTAAAAATATATTTCAACAAAATCTTCCAATGTAATTAAAATACTTTGGCAAAGCTCAGGATTTTTGTTACCAGTCCATTATACCTAAAATTGCCATAGCCTTTTTTTTGTGGATATAATTTACGTTGTTTGTTCCAATGATCATTCTTGTGTTTTTATCCCAAACACGGTTTTTGGGACAGATCTTAGTGTTAATTTTTCTTTTTGAAGTCATTTTTATCTATTTTTTCTCTTCCGTTGTTGTATTTGTAACATACTGTATGTCTTTGACTTCATTCGACACTTAGTACAAATCGTTTCAAACGAAATGAACAAGAAGACTCGTATAATTTTTTGCTCCAATAATTATATCTTCATTTTCGAACACTGTACAAGTTTCGCGGAATTCTGTATCACAACCATTTTCAGACACTGTTCCTACGTAATGTTTAACGTATACAGCATATGATTGGTTGATACGTTGAACTTTGAGCAGTTAAGTGCTTGAATACAAGGGTTTTTCCTTATAATAAGCTAGCATAATTGCTCACGTATGATAGCAGTCTAACATCGACGACAGCGAGCTTTGCATTAATTACCTTCCACAATTGCTATCAGGGCGTCACGGTAAGGCCCACTGCAATCAGCTTGAATTGCCTTTGCTAATGACACCTGGTAGGTTCGTTTATATTCCTCCCTAATCGCTTCCAAGTCCCGCTCTGACCTGGACACAATTATTCGAATAAGGTCAATGTCACGAGTGCCCAAGCCCTACAATTTTTGCTGATTATTACACAGGCTCAGTTTCGTTTATCAATTCGACGTTTAAGATCAACGGCTACTTTTTTTTGCTCAGAATGTCCTGACGTAAGCTAAGGAAGCTGTAAGACAGTTGCAGTCTTGTAAAACCAGCATGGAGAAAGAGTTTCAGTCCCTTGACAGTTCATGCTAAAAATATGAGAATAGAACAAACCTTCATAGATTCGTAAAGCTGAGTCGCATAATAATTTGTTAGATCACGCATTGCGGCATACAGTTGCATATATGCTTCTCGAGCATCTCCGTCAAAGTTACTCTGAAAAAGGCACTTCTAACAGACAATCAACAACAATCACTTTGGCTTTTCTCCGCTTTCTTAATAAACTAGCGCTCCTGTGGAACTTTGTTCAGAAAAGTCAGTCACCTTAATTCCTTTCTGGATTATATTTCCGGATAGACGCTGATATTCGGCAAAAGTACATTCAGCCTGAGCATAATTGCATTTGCCAAAAACAGCCGCGAATGTTCGTTTACTTGGCTTAACTTTCTCCTTATAGCGACCGGCCATTTTTTTTGCATCCTACAACAGACAGAAAAATATCTTTTACTTCAGTCGGTGTTCACTAAATAAATAACACCTGAATAAAGTATTTCCGTTTTGTTCAAAGTGTCTTGATGCAAACGACTAAAATTAGAACGGGATTTAAATGTTACCTCTTTCGCTCGTTTCTGATCTACGGGACTGACTTGTTCTCTGTCGGCACGAAGTATGGAAAGTAACAGCTCGCGAAAATCTCCGCTAGTATCTTTGTTTATATCGTGCTCAAGTGGAGATTTAAATGTTGCCATATACTCTTCTTTGATTTGTTGGAGTTCATCGGCAGAACGTGTACAGAGGATATCAATAAGCGTAGATTCTCTAGTGCCAAGCCCCTAGATGATTTGCTAATCTCAGTGGATTAAACCTATAGCAATGATGTGGATATTTCTAGGCTTCACTTCTGGTTCAAAACTTTAGTGCTTTTTATTAATCATTATATAGTTTTCAGTTGTCTTTTTGCATCTGAAGCTTTGAAATGTAGTAAGGTCCTGTTAAACTCTACCCTATCCGATGAATTTAAGTCAAATGAGTATATTTTTTCATCAAGATTTTTTACTGTTCTGTGGCATGTATTTGATGCTAGCTTACAGTGAAGTAATAAAATATTGAAGATATTTTTGTTTTTGTTTTCTATACTTTTCACTTTAATACTTTCTTTTACATTTTAACCAATTTTTACCTTCTACAACCTTAAGAAGTGGTCTTCATTTCGCAATCAAAATACTCAACGACATTTCCTTTGTATCATTTTCAACCAATTCTACACATTGAAAGACCGCTTGTAACTCAGCTATCTGTTCATTATAACTACACCTAATGCTCTTTAAGGACGGCAATGACGGTAAATCTCAGGAACTAATAGAAAGTTTGGATGAAGAATTAAATTTCCAGTTTACTGACACTAATATTGCATCACCCTTTCCCATTTTAACACCATTCGTAAAAACTACTGTATTTAGAGCAGAACGAAGCGTTTGGTGAGTAGGACAAATGAATGTTAGTGGTTGATGTTAATAACTTCTGGGCTGCACTTTAGCTTTAGTACGATGTGCGAATAATGGATAAGGAACGCATCCGTGAAAACCGATCCTGAAAATACGAAATTTCACTTTGATGGCATTATGCAATTGGAAGACGTCGTATGAAACCGGCGGTAACATAAGTCCAATGATCACATCCTCATAATCTCCAGATAATTCCTTCTTTAGACGATCCAATAAATTTTCGTTGTATTTTACTTGATATGTGGCAAGAATCTGAAACAAATATGTATAAGGCAATTCAAAAACCTTTACCACCAGGGCGAGCAAAATAATACGATTGATGGCTGGAATACTCTTTCACTACTGTCTTTTATTTCAATACTTCTGTGTAAAAAGTAGTTTTCTGGAAAGTGTTAAAAATAAGTACCACCTTCTACATAAGTTATTTGAATAAAAGGAAGCAACTGTGAAATAAGTGAAACTATTGAAGCACGCAACATCAAAATTAAAGCGTATTATAAGTTTAAACAGCAAGTAAACTAAGCTGAAAAAGTAATTAAAACTGGGCAGATTTTGTACTTTGTACCATAAGATTTTTGAATAGTCATTTACTGTAACCATCCGTGCATCGTATCCACCAAGTGTTCACAATTACTTACCTTAATTTTACTAAAAATTTTTTTAGTTACTCTAACAAAGTGGTCTCTCACAATGCTCTTTCCGACTAAGCTAGAACCTAGACGACTGTCTTTTACTTTTTTGGCAAGCAGTTTTTGGCGAAATTAAACGCCCATGTGTTTAGTGTCACAACCTTTTTAAAAGGTTAATCTGAATGAAAGATTGTCTTCCACTTGGAGAAGAAAGAATTCCTCGTGCATTCTGACAAATGTCAAAAGTTTTCAGTGCCCTTGGTTCTAAAAAAACAAATTTAAATCTTTACAACTCATGGCCCTATAAGCCACTACTAAATCTTCAACAATTCCAGCTACCCTATGCTTCTGTAAACCCTGAGGTCTTCGCAGGAATTTTTAAAAATTAAACGGCTTTTTCCAAGCACTATGTTCCCGGAGTCATGCATTCTCCTTCCTACTGTCCAGACACCTATTATTCAGAACAGTTGGCTATAAACTATACTTTGAACATCAACAGCATTCAGACTTCTGCCCGATTTGGATAGTGAATTCGTTGATACATTCAGATTAGTGTTATCACCTTTTTTTACATGTCATTGAGTACCCACTACCTATACACACAAGCTTAGGTCTATATAAAACCTTTTTTGTCTAGGAAAACTTAATCTGCATTCTCTAAGCCTACTTGCTATTTTCAGGTTTTTAAGTCATCAGCCTTATCTAAAATCCTATATTAAAAGCAAAAAGTATTCTGAAATTAGCAACAAGAAATACTACAATTGTGGCAGCATGGTTGTTCATCACACCTTTTTGCTTCACTTGTATTTTTTTAAAAAGTAGTTGTTTCAAAACTAAAAGTCTTAAAAATATGCCATCGGTCATATTATTTTGACTGCCTCTGTATATATATATATATATATATATATATATATATA